TTTTCCCTGTTTATTATGATCTTGCTTATTGGTCCAGTTGTGAGGGTTTTTGTTTTCTTTACGTTGAGGTGTAGTCCATACTGAAGGCTGTAGTCTTGGATCTTCATCAGTAAGTGCTTCAAGTCTTCTTCACTTTCAGCAAGCAAGGTTGTGCCGTCTGCGCATCATAGATTGTTTAATGTAGAGTCTACATAACCAGGAATAACATTGTGTACCCTGTGGGAGGGCTTCCAGGGAACATCACAACCTCTACCTTTTGGCTCAAATGGCTCAGGTGTTAAAAGATGAGAATTATACACCAAAGACCCATACTCACAATATTTGCAGTCCGCGCAAAATCAATCTCTGGTTCTTTGCTTTCAACCTATGTGCAAGATTTACATGCAATTTTAAATAAATAAAAAAGTATGAAATGGCTATTGTCTTCCCAAAGCTTAGATTTTCAGTTTGAGAGACAAAATAGACTTCATGAAACTGGGTACTCTCTATGTAGTTCAAACTTTGCCTGAATTCAGAATAAGTAAAGGTCTGGAGTTTTGGAGAAGTCAATGAAGGCTGCATAAGCAGAGGAGTTTCTTCCAGAGTATGTCCAGGACCTCAAAGAAAGATGCCAACATCAATACTTAATGAAATGGTCTGCCATTATTTTGTCTAAAGAAATCATTTTCCTTTTCTAAACAAACAACAGAATGACTCAGATCTTATCACAAATACCTCATGACTTAGGTGGTGCTTCAGATAGGGTAGGGTAGGATCAAAGAGATGGCAGTTCCCTGACCAAGGTCTTGGGGAAGGTTAAGGACAGGGCAAAGACAAAAATCTTTCTGAATCTATTTGCTGAGTAGGTTGCTGAGTCCTAGGTTCCTTGGGCAGGATGGAGTCCTTAAAGGATATATGGTCCAACTCTTTTCTTCATACCCGCTTCCTGGGGTGGAGGGGGCCCTAACTGTCTGAAAGATCCCCAGGGAAAGCTATTCTTTGATCTTTCTCAGAAACTCATTTACAGGGCTGAAGTTATGTAGACAGTTTAGTTTACCTGGAGATAAAACCCTTTTTAATGAGAGCCCTACTTCAAGCAATGAGAATCCTCAACATTCCCTCTTGACGCTTGTCACCCCAGTCTTCAGAAAAGCTCTCACAATCACCCACCATTTACTGAGCTGAATACTTAGATTTTTTTTCTGTCCACACACTGGAACAACCTCAGGTGGTCCATGCTTTCCTTGGAGGAGGATTGGAAGGAATGTTTGTGTCTTAGTTATCTAGTGCTACTATAACAGAAATACCACAAGTGAATGACTTTAACAAACAGAAATTTATTCTCTTACGGTCTAGGAGGCTAGAAGTCTGAATTCAGGGCACCATCTCCAGGGGAAGGCTTTCTCTCTCTGTCAGCTCCGGGGGAAGGTCCTTGTCATCAATCTTCTCTTGGATGTAGGAGTTTCTCAGGGCAGGGACCCTAAGACCAAAGGATGCACTCTTCTCCTGGCTCTTCTTTCTTGGTGGTATGAGGTCTCTCTCCTCTCTTCTCTCTTCTCTCTTTTATATCTCACAAGAGTTTGACTCAAAATACAACCTAATCCTGTAGATTGTGTCCTGCCTCATTAACATAACTGCATCTAATCCTGCCTCATTAACATCATAAAGGTTAGGATTTACAACACATCAGAACACAAATTGGAGAACAACCACACAATACTGGGAATCAGAGCCTAACTAAGTTGACACAGATTTTGGGAGGACACAATTCAGTCCATAACAGTTTGTATCTGGGCCCCTTGTTCTACCTCTCTGATTAAACCAATCTCTAGACATCCGTCAAGAAATCATCAGTCTTAAGAATCTCAACCCTCTGAAAGTTTACCTTGCTCCCTGCTTGCTGACTAGGTCATTCAGTGATAGTTAAGCAAAACTAGTGAAACAGATGGTCCCTGTTCTCTAGGAGCTTACCATCTTAGAGAGAACTTTTGCTATGGACAAACCTCCAGAGAATATACAGATGGAACGAAAGTCATATCTGGCCTTTTTGAAGCTATAAGACCAGCCCCTGCACTGCTGCTATAAAAGACAGTCCTCATTCCCCTTCAAACATCTAGGAAGGACACCTGTCCTTCAGAACATTGTTATTCTACAAGCATTCTGCTCTGGATGGAATTGCTCGTGGGCATAAGATGGCCATTTTTTCATCCCTGGACATCTGGTCTTCCACTTAGCCTGTTTACCCAGGACTCAGAAACTTTTTATAGAGTATGAGAGTGGCAAGAACTCAGGCATATGTCTGGACAGTGTGTTGGCATGTTCCCCACCCATCGACTCCATCAGCTCCATAGCAGATGAAACTAGCACATGGCTGTTTGTCTTGAAGGCTAAATTTTCGTGTTTATGCTTGATGTGTGTTTCATATGCCACACTTTAACTGATGGCAATCACATAGTAATTCATAAAAGTGTGGAAAGTCACTTCTCTAAGTCTGTCTTCATCTCTTAAAAATGATGAGATTATAATCATCTCTAAGGTGCTTTTCAGCTCTAACAGCCTATGAACCTCTCCTCTATTGAATGAAGGTGGTCACTGCCTATTCCAAATACAACTAATTTCTATTTCAAAAGATTTTTCCTCCTTTCATTTCCTAGTCTGCTAGAGGACACATACAACATAATAACATAGTTAAATTCAGAGATGTAGAGTAAAAATTCTTCTACCAAATTCTGGGATCTTTTCTCTCCAAAGTCCTATATACTTCTACAGATAGTATTTTGAGTTTGGTCATATGAAATCACTATATTTATGATTACTGGATTTCCCACTCCCTACTCAGAACCCACTCTCAATAAATTAGACCTTTCCAATCCAGAGTTGAAGCACCTGGCATTCTCCTTATGCATGACACAGTTGAGATACATGAAATAAATAAAATAATGATAATTTTTAAAAGTCTTCTGTAGTCAACAGAGAAATGACAGTTGTGTCTGACAG